GCACTTGCTGTCCTAAGGCAAGATCCCTGTTCTCTTAGTCACTCTCTGGACATTAACCTTTGGCTGTCCCCAGAAGGGGTCCTGGGCAGCAACCCCTCCATCTTTGGCCTTGGTGGAAGAGTCATGCTGAGGAAGATGCGACTGCAGGGCCGGATGGAGCGGCGTTTGGGGACAGGGAGGGAAGGGGTACCTGAACGCACAGCGGACGTTCACAGCGGCAAGATCCCTGTTCTCTTAGTCACTCTCTGGACATTAACCTTTGGCTGTCCCCAGAAGGGGTCCTGGGCAGCAACCCCTCCATCTTTGGCCTTGGTGGAAGAGTCATGCTGAGGAAGATGCGACTGCAGGGCCGGATGGAGCGGCGTTTGGGGACAGGGAGGGAAGGGGTACCTGAACGCACAGCGGACGTTCACAGCGCCCAGCAGTGTGAAGGGAGTGGTGCCAGGCCCTCTCCGAGCCTGTGCTGGTACCTCTGTACTGGTTATCGCCCTGAGCTCGCTGCGGGTGCGGGACGTTCAGGGGACTTCTGCCGATGTGCATGCACTGATCCTCGGGGCACGACGACTCCTCTCTTCGGGAACGTGCATGCGATGAAGAGGAGGAGCCAGCCCTTGGCCTTTTTAACTGATTGATCTGTGCTTCGCTCCGAGTGGCGACTGATGCCTCCAAGGTTTTAGTGGCTAATGTCTGTCTGGGCGGGCAAGAGCTGGAACGCTCCCAGTGTGACATACGAGTCTCCTCCTGGTCTGGAGAATTGGGCTCTGGAAGGATTTTAGGGTTCAGTTTATTGGTTTTGGTTGAGTTTTGATTTTTTTACAGATGGCTTTGACGTGGGAGGGAGATTGGGAACTAGCGCTGGAAACCTGCAGGCAAAGGCAGGCACAAAGTTAGCATTTTGCATGGAAAAGCCTTGGAATATGACTATATTTGGGGCATAGGGAAGGACACACTGCAGGGGACAGGAAGGGAAGGTGGAAGCAGAGCCCAAACCCAACCCGGGGGGGCCCGGGTCAGAAGTTTAACGCACAAAATCCTCCGCAGGCAGCTAAGGGCATTTATCTGTGGGCAGCAGGCAGCCCCTGCTCCCAGCACCTCTCCTGCGGGAGAAGGATCAGGCTTCCTCAGGGAA